AGCTAAGCTTGGATGCAGATAGCCTTCCATCCATGAACTAGGAAGGAGACATGTTTACATAAACATCTGGAGTTAGATGAGGTGATCCTGCTCATGACAATCTTGATTAAAAACTAATCATTTGCCAGGACACGATGTTGGAACTGAACCTTGAGAACCTTTTATATAGAGTAAAAAATAACCCAGCAGTGACTCAACTGCATTCGTTGGTGAATGTGGATCTGCTCTTTCAATCAGATGCAACCAAGGCAACATAACAAGGCTGGAGGATCCCACGCATGGCTTTTCTTTCACAGAGGAGATGTGGACAGAGGGCAGGACTGGCAGGATAGAGGGGCAGCTGAGAAGATGCTGCTGTCTCCAGGCTTGCTCTCCTGAAGTTCCCACTCCACTGCCTGCTTCAGACTATGTCCTGGGCTGTGGCTGGTGCTGCACCACAGCTTGTGGACCTCTGAGGACATGAGCACCTTGGGTTTGTGCAGTGGAAGCTGGATGCTGCCTGCAAAAACATTGACAAGGTGTCACCTCCAAGGCAAGAAAAAACCCAACTGTTGTTTAACCATTTGATTGCCATTAATCTCAACAGAAGTGAATGTGCATCTGTGTGAGTTTTGCCACAGGTATCCAGCGTTGACCACAGCTGTAAACTCAGCTACCTTTCTTCATCCAAGAGAGCAGCCAGCAGAGCCTTTGGCTTTGGCAGTACAATCCTGGGAGAAGGTTCTCATGGTAGCAGTGTGCCTGGGGAGAGGTCCCCCTCTGCTGCACATAGGCTGCTGCTGCCCATCTATTCCCACGGGTTAACTCAGACAGCAGCGCTTTCTTCATGCAGTCTCTGGCATCAGCAGTGCTGCTACCACATGCTGTTGGAAACAGCAAATGAAGGCACAAGAAACTACATTTACTCTCTATTTTCAATATTACTGTGTGAAGATTCTCAGTACCAGCTAGTCCTTACAGAGCATCTGCGTTTCATGGCCTCAGTTTGATGGGATCCTCTCCCTGATTTAGGAAACGCCATTTCTTGTGCTTTTTTGCTTTTAGCAGCATAATATAGTTGGGCTTCACCTCCCTGAGCCTGATAAACTGTGTGACTCAGAAACTTGCAATCTGCTTCAACATAAAGCATGTAAGATAAAAGACATAAGAAGTAATGGAGCTGCTTGGCTCAGGAGTATAAATGCTAGAGGGTTACTCATGTACTCAAAAACCTCTTCTAGCCTTTTTTCTTAACCCCTGCAAGCCCTGAGCAAGGCAGGCTGCAAGTAAGAGCTGATGTGTCATTTCAGATATGCCTCCACTCCAGCAAGCAAACCCCAGAGCTGGGAAGTGGAAGGAGCTCTGATGCCAGCACCATGCAATGAAGATGATATGTCAGGAGCAGAGCTGAGTGCTTGCGCCATGCCCTCCAAAGTGCTTTTATTTCTGCTGGTTAAACACATGCCACTTTCTGAGGGGATTATGTGTCGTGGAGCCAGTTGGCTGCAACAGCTAATTATCTCCAGCAACAGTTTGGCCATAAGATTTATGGTTCAAAGGGAATGCTGTCATCCAGCACCACATGTAGCAATTTGCCCACACTTGAGTTTCCATGTTCCCAAAGAGGGAACATCCCATCCTCCACCAGCTGAAGCTTACACCCAGCAGTCCAGGGCGTCAGTCCAAACAGCATGGGCAGGGAGCACCAGCACTCTGATGAGGCCTCTGAGATACCTCCAGCAGGAACCAAGTAGAATAAGCAGTTAAAATCAGCTTAGCAGCCTGACAGAGCTTCCCATTCCCTCAGCTGGATGTTAGTGTGGCAGCCATGCCATGGCACTCTCCTCCGGTTGAACTTCATGGGGTGCATTGCACTGATGGGGTCCCACTCAGCACAGCCAACTCCAGGAGATAAAAATGTCTGCTGCAGTCCCAGATAGTAGAAATTCCAGGGAAAGCAGCCACAGGAGTAAACGTTTTTGGAATGCAGCCTCAAAACCAGCACTGAAAATGTTACATACCTTCATAGAAATGGATGGTTGACCCTCGTCGAGACTACCATGAACAGGCAAAAAGCAGACCGAGGCAACTGAAAGAATCTAAGTCATTGAAAAACACATGGAGAATGATGGAGAAGACTAGACATCAGGAAAGAGATAAAGAGGGGAGTTAACAGAAAAGGTATTGGAGCTGGGCTGGAGACATTGGCATGGGAGTGACTCTGAGGCACCGGACTCGCAGAGCTCAGGTCACCTGAAGGCCAGACAGGCTTGAGTGTTGGGGATATGACTACTCCTCTGTCCCTAAGCACTGGGAAGCAGTGCCATTATCCAGACAGATGTTAGAGGTCCCCTAGCCAAGGTTCCTATGGAGATATCCCAACTGAGATTGGAAGCTGGGTGCTGTCGGGGAGGAGAGGGTGGAGGGGATGGAGGCTGTTTAGACATCCTCCCTCTATTGCTATCACCCTGTCCCCTTGAGAGGCTGGCAGGCTGCATCATCTCCCCCCGACCTCCAGTCCCTCAGAGTAACTTGGGTGGAGCCAGGCACCTGCAGTTGCATCACCTCCATGGACAAGGATGTGAAGGGAGGTGAGGCTTTCCAAACCACAGAGCCAGGCTGTATGCAGCTAATCTGGACCTAATTTGTTGTTAGGCAGCCCAGGGGAACACCACGTGGAAGAGCTATAGGCTGCACATGCCGTGAGAGTGAGAACCCCCTGATATTCCAGCACAGGACCTGGGGTTCAAAGGATGCTGCTGTTCACAAGCAAATCATCACAGGTTGAAGGCAGCAATTCCAGTAAGGAACTCCCCCATCACTATGCTGCTGTGGAGCCAAATCTTTTGGCCAATTTGCAGTTGATTTTTTCATTTGCTGCACTCACAGCATTAAAGGCGGATCTCAAAGGCAAGAATAATTGATAGAGAACTTTAAATTGAAGAGAGCTGAATGATAGAAAATTACAGAAAATGAAGATGGAGAAAGTGATGAAAGTCTTCAGGGGACTGCCAAGAACTCCAAGAGGAAAAGAAAATCCCTCCCTCTCTTACACCTCCACTTTTTACCATCACCTTTAAGTATTTTGTTCCTGAGGACAAAGGAGAGCCTGGGTCTCTGAATAACAGCACTGCAGACCTGCCTTGGTCTGCAGGGACATGTGAAGAAATGCAGCTGTCTCTTAAATAACAGGAGTTGACATCAGTTGTGAATAGATGAGTGATCATGGCTTCAGCCATCACTGTGGAGGATCTGATTTCAAATGAAGCCCCATTCATCCATCCAGGACCCATCATAAGGCTATTAAAGGAGCATCTGTCACAAAACCGCAATGGCTTTAACTGCTTGAAACAAAACTAAGCCTGTTTAGCTTAAATACTTTTCTCTGGGTGATGTGATTCTTGCAATTCTTTAACAATAATGAATTATAAATATGATGGGTAGCTAAAATATGTGATGGGAGCAGGGCGAGGTATGTTTTTCACATTAGCATGGAATTTGGTTGGGAGGCATGAAAGCCCGTGGAAATGAGTTTTCTTGGGTAGCAGAGTGCACAGCTACAGCATACCAGGCATCCAGCTCCAGAGCCCTGGCTCAGAGCACTCTTCCAGGACACAAATGGGAAGTTTTTTCCTGCTTTCTGATGCACCAGGGAAAGCATCTCCAGCGGCAGGACAGAGCATCACCTTCAGGCCAAGCTTTGGCAAGACACAGGGCAAAGTGTGCTCATAATCATGTCAGAGTGATTGGGTAACTCATCAGGACTAGATGAGTTTTTAACAGAGAGTGTTAATCTTCGCATGCCACCTCCTGTCCTGCTATCCCTTTGGATGACGTCCACACTGCCAGGAGCACAGAGATCAAAGGGCAAGACGACTGCTTTTGCATAGACCTGCTTTATTATGTTCACAGTATATTGAGAGCATCTCATGCATTAGATTGATGCTTCTGGGGCTAGAGGTAGGCATTTAGACCCTGTAATGCACATCAAACCCTCTCTAAGAGGAACTGGAGTGTCTGCATGTGGCTTGATGGTGGCAAGAAAGACTTTATTGTGTGATGCAGCTTTGTGTTTATAATTCATATTAAACTGTAATCCAAATTCCTCTTTTCTTTATAAATTATATTTAGTTGGGCTGAGTTGTTTTGAAAAACTGTCTTGAATGGGTATGAAAAAATGGATTGTGGTCGTATGTGCACAGCTGTGGGCTCCTCCACAAAAGCATTTCATGCTGAAAGACAGGACCCAGAGTTTCAGCCTGTGGAGGCATTTTTGGTGTTCATAGATTTAAAGACTAGAATAGAATAAAGGTAAATGTTTTAAAAACATCCAAGTGTTTTAGAAAGCTAAATCATCCCTCTAGCCCCCCAAAAACCCTGACTTATACTCCCGGATTATTGCCATCTAATCGGGCTCCTGGGTTTTGTCCAAGTGCTGCATCTCCCGCAGTCCCAGCCCTATGCTGGTTTCAGACTGAAGCAGTGACTCACTCAGGCAGAGATTTGTCTCTGTCATCTGAGCTGACTGAAAGCAAGGCATCTCCTTGGAGCCACCAAGCCTCCCTCCCTTTCTAGCAGAGTTACAGGCATCTCCCAAAGGTGACTTGACCTGTCTGTTCTGGGAGTGAGACCTATATGCTCCAACCTCTTATCTGAATAAACCCTTGCAGAAAAGCATGTGTGTGTACAGAATCCAGCACAATGGACAGATTGGGAACTTCGTCCCACAGGGAGTAAAAATAGCAAGCAGTATTAAAGCTGTGTATTTTCACCAATTGCAATCAGGGCTCACAAAACACACACACACAATTTCCTGCTTTCAGTTCAGTATCAGATTTTATGCATAGGTTAGTGGAGTTTGGTTTTACCAGAATAGGATTTACTACAGTACATTCAGCCATGAAAAATGATATTGAATAAGATTAATAGGAAGCAGAAGGATTCATCTGAGATTGACAAAGATTAATGTGTGCTTTATTCTTACCTCTTTTCTTTTCTTTTCTTTTCACATTTTCTCTTAGTTACCTAGACAGCTTAGATCGAATTGGAGCTGCAGACTACCAGCCCACGGAGCAGGATATCCTCCGAACCAGGGTCAAAACAACTGGCATCGTAGAAACCCACTTCACATTCAAAAACCTCCACTTCAGGTTAGTCTAAGTGCACAGTAAATTTTCGGTACATCTATTTGTCACAGAGTTTCCCCATAGTTCCCAAAGGAGAAGTTTATAAATTCTGGTTAATGCGTGGATGACTCCCACTGCAGAAGGCAGAGCGTTTTGGAGGGTCAATAATATGATCCTGTCTTGAAAATCACTGCCTTTAAGATGGGAGCTCATGGTAGCTTCTTCTAACCAAAATAGACCTCTTTGCTGGGACGTGTAATATAAGACTGACCCCCAGTCAAGACTGATCAAGCTTCGTAAATGTAAAAATATTTGGCCAAATCTTTTCCCTAAAGTGGGTCAGTCACATATGGTTAACACTGTGCATTGACCTCCATGATGCCAGCCAGTGGAGAAAAGGACATGAAGACAGAAAGTCTCACACAAACAGTATTTAGAGCATATAAAGCTCAAGAGCATGCAGTCTCCCCCTCTGCAGACGATATGGGACACAGCACACTTCTGAGGTTCTCCCACAGATCCCCACATCCCTTGCTGGAACTGCTGCTCCTGGTCCTCCTCAGCTCCAGGCTCGGAGGAAGAAAACCAAGCCAGTGGTAAAAGATTGTTGCATTGTGTTTGAAGCCTTCCAGGGACAGTATGCTCCATCCCTGGCAGTGATCAAGGCCCGGTTGGACATGGTCTAGGGGAAGGTGTCCCTGTCGAAGGCAGGGAGCTGGAGCTGGATGATCTTAATATGCTTTCCAGCCCAAACTGTTCTATGAAATTCCAAGAATGCGGAAGTTTCCTTGTAACTAGGAAGGAGTAGGCACTGATGGTCCTTTCCTGTGCCATAGGCTCTTTGATGTTGGGGGCCAGCGGTCAGAACGCAAGAAGTGGATTCACTGCTTTGAGGATGTTACAGCGATCATTTTCTGTGTTGCTTTGAGTGGCTACGACCAGGTGCTCCATGAAGATGAAACCACGGTGAGTCTAATTGGGTCTTGGAGGCCCCAACATTTCTTTATGGAATACTGCATAGCCAGCAACTACTCAGAGATTACCGAATGCTCACTGGGCTGCTATAGTGATGTGCTTTTGTCAGTCACTCCCCTTTGACTCTGAAATCCTGGGGAGATGTGTCTTCCTCCACACTCTTCAAAATCCAGTCTGCATGCCCAGGTAATGCTTCCTTGCACTGGTAAAGTCGCAGTGTTTTATGTCTCCTTTCTAACTGGCCTGTGTGTTTTCAAAGCGTGTTAACAGGACCCTGTATCCAGAAAGAGGAGATACAGGTGGGCTCTTAAAACAAAAGTTAAGGAAGCAGCTGTGTCGTGGTGCAGAGGTGCAGGATGGCCATGCACGCCCAAGGCAGGCTCAGGCTAGGAATATAACCAATTTCTTCAGGCTACAGAAATTCATTTTCCTGAGTGAGACTGGAACTGTTTGATTCCTCAGGTAATTTGCTTCAGGAGAGCTTTTATGACTTCCTACTGTGACATTAGGCTCAAAATGCCGTCTGGAAACAAAGCTAGCAAGGACCTGTGTGCTTCCTGGTATTAGAGTCCAATTAATACAAGTGAATTAAACACACAGAAAGGATGCAAGAAGACTCATTAGTGTATTTTGGCCATTCAGTCAGTGTGATGGGGATGCCTGCTTTGGGAATAACGATGACTGAAGCAAGCACCTAGTTGCATTTGTCTAACAAAAAGGAATTGGAGGCCGTACTCAGACTTAGTAATTATTTTGTCTGTGTCCAGCCTGCAGCAGCATGGAGGGCCCAATCCTGCCTACTTTGTCTCTCTGAAGCTCTTTATTCTCCTGCTGCTGAGATGTCAGGCTTGCAGAAATGTGTTGATGAGGAAGGAATTGAGGGAAAGATTGCTGTTAGGTATCACTTGGCTTGTCCCAAAAAGGCTGGGAGAGGGCTGTGTTTTCTCGTCTCTTTGAGCCAGGTTTATGAGCTCTAGAAAACTGACGAAGTCACCTGGTTGTTTGGGTCATATCAATGCCAGAATTCAGGCTGATATTGACATTATGACATCCCTCCAGTCTGACTGAGATACCCTACACCCTCTTAGGTCCATTTATTTATAATCCTCAGTTGTCACCTCCCTCTGACCCAGGCCCTAATATGCTCAAGGTTATGCTCAATATGCTCAGTCCTGTAGGATTTACTGGGAAGGAACCAAAATCTCCTGGCATGATTTGAAAAATCCAGCCATTAGCTCAATGCCTAGAGGTCTGCAGCTGAGCAGGGGAAACACATCCAGGAGATAAAGAAGAATACACAGGGAGAAGGCAGACCCAGGAGGCTGGGAGCCAAGCTGTGATCTGAGCAGGGAGGAAGGTGATCTGTAGGTATAACTTGGGCTGTAATATCCAATTGGTGAAGCCAAAGGCAGCCTTTAATACAGGTCACCTTTGGGTGCCAGAGCTGTGATTCAAAGCCACAGAACACAAGATGGAAGGGCCTGAATGCCAGTGCCATTTTTAAATGTCAACCTTCACTCAGCTTCTCTGAGATGGAGGTTACAGCATCTCTCCTGGGATGCAGAGCTCTGCCAGTGACTGTCCATCCCCCAGCACCACCCTAGTGACAAGCAGGGTGCCAGCTCGGCCTCCCCTCTGCTGTGCTCCGCTGTGGAAAACTGGGATTTATACATCTCCAACTTTCCTTTTGCACCAGGAAAACAGGCTTGCACTGCGCTGGCATGGCACTGACATCTGCTTGCTATTTCAGCCCCTTTTCACAAAGTCTTTCTGGTGATGCTGAACAACAGGAGCGCAGAGGCAGCTGCTGTTCACTTACACACTCCCCCTTGAATGGGGAAAGGATTCAGCACTGGCACCGCTGCGCCTGCAGGACGCCCCTGCCTAACCCAGATAAACAACCCTGAGCAAGGCCAATCCAAACAGGAAAAATGATGGGATTGGATCTTATCTGCCCTATTATACCCCCAGCACAGGTGGAAAACCCATAGGCTACGGCCCTCTCCCAGCTGAACCCGCAAGCATTCCGTTTCCTCCCTGCTAACATGGTTCCTCTCCAAAAAGCCAGCAATAAAAGCAGCATCTCTTCAGTCAGCTGATTTGCCGTCTGTCTGCATCCGTCACATCTGCTGGCTTTCATGACGTAAATCAGCTTTTATTGCTTCTCACTTAGAAAACACAAAGAGGAGGCAGCTGAGACAGTGAGCTGGGTGCTGCTTCTCCATCTTCATTTTCTATAGAGATGCTTACTACGATCTGGGCACTTCCAGCTGTATTAATCTACTGAAGGGCTGGTGCCGCACAGATGTCTCTGTTGAGTATGAAAAGACTTGTAGGGCTTTCATTGCTGGCATGGAGCCACGAAGAGGAAAAGAGCATCTCAGGCACCCAAAAAAATGCTTTCAAAGCATAGGGAGAACAGCTTTTCCTTGTTAATAGTAACCACAGGATTTCAACAGGGGCTTTTTGTGCTGCTTTAAGTCAAACTTCACTTTGGGCAGGTGAAACTGCAGCTCAGATCAAGTCAGCCTAATACGGGGCTAGGGCTTGCTTTGGGAAGCTCAGTCACAAGGCCTAGTTGTTGTGTCAGCTTGTCTCACTGAAAGAAGCTCATGAACAACAGGTTCACTGTGAACCCTTTCCAACAAGACTTAGCAAAGAGATGGTTACAGAAGGCTGGGTGAAACACCCCCTGACCTATTCCTGCCCTTAAAATTAAAGCACAGCTCCACACTTGTAGGGTTTTTGTGGTTTATTGTGCTCTCTGTTTTAAAAGGCTGAGCACCCATCCTCCTGCAGCAGCTAAAAGAGGGCTATTGTGCACAAAGCCGTCACCCCCTAGGACCAAGTAGTCTTTTATAAGGGATGTATTTTCTCTTCAATTCCCTGCCACAAAGAGCAACATGGTGTGAGTTGAGGAAAGCAAGTACTTCTCCGTATCCAGATCAGAATAAAATAAAGAGAACTTTCTGCATCTGTGATGACCCATAAAGACCATGCTTTGCACAGAAACCCCTGGTGCTGTTGAATCCAGCCTCTCCCATTGCCCCAAACACCTACTTGCACTGCTGTTGGCAGATCTAAACTGCTTCCCTGCATGCCTGTCTCACAGGACAGAGGAGCAAGCCTGCAGGGAAATTCAAGCAGTACCTTCATCAGTCCCACTGCTGTCAGCCACAGCCAACAGCTACAGCTCACGAGGCAAAATTACACCCTCTGCCCAGCCCATCCAACACAGAAGGCACTGTCTTCTGGGTTTTACATGTGCCTCTTCATCTGGCTTTACCAAGTCCACCACAAGGAGCTTCAGGACTCTCTGCTGCATTTGTACACAGTGGGAACATCCTGCTTTAACTGACTGAACAACTCCATGGATTATGTCTTTGCATGACAAAGCTATTTTGCCTCACTTGCTACTTATCTTTGTGTTTTGTAAGATGAGCTTACAGGAGGAAAAACCTCAGGCCCGTAATCTGGGAGCAGAGAGGGACAGCAGTCATATTAATGGGTGAAACTGGAGAAGACAGTTAACAAAGGTAGATTTGCCTTGTTCCTTCTAACTGGAATTCCTTAAGGAATTTTAAAAAAGACAGCAATGGCATGGGACCTATCACTGAAACCTAGACTATCCTCTTTGTTTTTTTCCTTTCAAATTCAAAGGAGTCATGGCAAGAGAGGGAGGTGTTCATGCTGCACATTGATGCCTCTGAATCCAAACTATTTAGGTCATCTAGCCAAGACATGCAAGATTGTTCATGTCCCCATTGCTGAGCGTGGGATGGGTTGAAGGCGCTGTGCTAGTGACCCTTGGTCTGTTGGTTCGTATTTCATTGCTTGACCTGGTTAGCATACTCTTTCTGCTGTCATTGGGCAAGGAAAATTGAATTGCAGTGCTTAGAAATTGCCTTAGGAGTGACAAAGCCAGTGAAAGTGGTTTGAGCATCTTGGGCAATACAAACCGGAGGGGGGATGTGGAGTTTCTGTGCTTATGTTAACAATCAGCACCCTTATAGTTCGTGTGCCAGTCAGCATTTAATCACCAAGGAGAACAAAAAAACGTGAATCAACTGTGTGTGGCAGAAATAATCAAGTCTCCTCCCATTCTCTGGTGAAAAAAGATGGAGTTTATGAGTGTGTTTCTGCCTGAGCAGGGTCTTGACCGCAGCATCCTTTCTCCCTCATGCTTAGCAGAAAGCTGTCTAACCTCACATCAGTGACGGGAACACGACCGTGCAGTGACATCTGAACTGAGTGATAAGCAAGGAAGTTTCTTGTCCTGCACAGGAAAAGTTAACTGGGCTTTTAATTCGTATGTGTGAGTGGTTAGTCCCCTGTAGCGTAACTGGTGGGGCTGCTTTTATTTGGGGATATAAAGTATTTGCAGGCCTAAGGATTTAAAATATTGATTTTGAAATAGGAAGTGACATTAAGAAGCCAGTATTTCAAGAGCCGTTTCCTTAATGATGATAGACCCAATATAAAGTAGGAAATACCAGGATAATGAGTCCAAAAGCAGGTGAAGTAATTTGTATCACTTAATATAAAACCATGACAAGTGTAATCTTCAATGCCTCCTAGCAAAGCAGGCATGTCTGCCCCATCACAGCAGCATGGGTGCTCTTGAGAGGGACTGTGGGAAAGCTTTAGGTGGCTAAAAGGGTCTTTCACTCTGGATTTACTGGTAGAAGGGGGATTATTTGACAGCTTTAACTTCTCACTCCTCCTTTAGCAGCAGTCTATCCTTTTACATGTGGTACCTAGATACTGCCTCCCCATCCTTGCATCTCAGCCAGGGTCTGCTTAAGTTGTTGGAGGTATCCCACAAACACCTATAGAAGCAATCAAATGTGACCCATGGTGCTTCCCAGCAGCTGGGAAGTGGTCTGTGCAGCCTGGTGCAGGGCTGGTGGGGTGCAGTGTGGTAAGTATGGTGACCTCCAGGCTGATGGCTGCTGCACATGAGCTATGGTTTAACCCATGAGCAGTGTTCA